GAGTGACTCAGACAACTTGGAGGATTGGGCCAAAAAAAAAACTCTCATGAGGTGCAGTAAGGACAAGTGCAAAGTCCTGCACTTAGGATGGAAGAATCCCATGCACTGCTAGAGCCTGGGGACTGACTGGCTAAGCAGCAGCTCTGCAGAAAAGGACCTGAGGGTTACAGTGGACAGTAAGATGGATATGAGTCAGCAGTGTGCCCTTGATGCCAAGAAGGCTAAAGCATAGTGGGCTGTATTAGTAGGAGCATTGCCAGCTGATCAAGGGAAGCAATTATTCCCCTGTATTCTGCATTGGTAGGGCCACATCTGCTGTCCAATTTCAGGCCCCCCACTATAGAAAGCATGTGGACAAGTTGGACAGAAACCTGCGGAGGGCGACAAAAATGGTTCAGGGGCTGGGGCACATGACTTATCAGAGGCTGAGGGAACTGGGTTTATTTAGCTGGGGAAGAGACGGCTGAGAGGGGATTTAATAGCAGCCGTTAACTACCTGAAGGGTCATTCCAAAGAGGACAGTGCTCAGTGGAGACATAATAGAACAAGGAGCAGTGGTCTCAAGTTGCAGCAAGGGAGGTTTAGGTTTAGGAAAACTCTCTCACTGGGAGGGTGGTGAAGCACTGGAACAGGTTTCCTAGAGAGGTGGTGGAATCTCCATCCTTTGAGGTGTATAACAAGTCCCAGCTCAACAAAGCCCTGGCTGGAATGTTGTAATTGGGGCTGGTCCTACTTTGAGCAGGGGGTTGGACTAGATGGTCTCCTGAGGTCCCGTCCAACCCTAATTTTCTATGATTGATTCTATGATACAAGGCCTGTGAGGAAAAGGCAAAGTCTACCCTTACATAGCAGAAAGCTTCTCTTACCATTTTAGCCCTAATCATGCCACAATAAAAACTGTTGTATAGCTTTACTCAAAATAGGTTAGGTATCAGACTGAAGGGAGGAAATTTTTTTGTAAAAAATCCCAAAATTAATGCACCTTCTTCTACCAGCATAGCAGAAGCTGCACTGGGGCTAAAGTAACTTTAAGAGGATTCTCTAAAATATCATTATAGACAAGGAAAAGGTCTCTGAATGGCAGCTCCTGCTCATCTGATTAGTCAAGTAAAAGAAGGATTTGGGTATCTCATTTCCTAGTAGAATCTGGCCTTGTCTGGACTTAGGTTCCCTCTTTAAAATTTTCTACCATTGCTGCTACTATCTTATCTCTGCTGAAGGTAGCAAGAGGGGGAACACTAGTATAGTCAGGGCTGCTTGCTCTGAGATTTAAAACTATGGGTCGTTTATACATGTGTTCTGGGAGTGGGGGGCACCTTAATCAGAGCAGTTCTGAGAGCCGCTCTAATTAAAGCACCGGAGCGTCATGTTGATCAGTGTCCCCACACTGAAAAAGGGCAGCAGGGGCACTTTAACTGAAGCTCATCAAATGAGCTTTATTTAAAGCACCCCCACCACCATTTTTCAGTGTGAGGACACTGATACATGCGACACTGCAGTCTGCTGGAGCGCAGTAATTACCACGTTCCAGCAGAGTTGATTAATCAAGTCTGCTCTAGGGGTGCACTGATACAAATTTTTTGGGCCGATACCAATGGCTGTTTTTTAACGAGCCATATCAGCTGCTACTGATCCGATTGCCGATATGCAGGTCTGGCTTGTAAGTCTGTTGTGGAGGAAGGGGCGAGGGGGGAGGGAAGGGACATGGGGGCCCAGATTGGGGCTGGGACTGGAGCTGGGGCTGCGCTGCAGCTGCACACATGCATGGGCATTTATCGGCCACATTAATCAGCCACATCAGCCAAAAAAAAGCTGATTGCTGTCAATTTTCTTTATATTGGTGCCCATCTGATATGGGACCGATGTATCGGCGCATCTCTAGTCTGCTCTGACGCATTGTAATTACAGCACGTCAGAGCAACCTCTCTTCACGTGTATTGGCACCCATGGTTTTCAAAGCAATTGTGAGTAGGGTTAGAAAGCACTGTCAGTAAAATCCAGAAACTAGCCTGCACAGGCAGTCTCACCGCTGCCAGTGCTAGTGAAGCAGGACTTGTGGTAACAAGAGGAAGAAATTTTTAGGGGGAAAAAAGGCCAGTGAAGATAAAAACTAAAGTTAGTGAAGTGTTCTGAAATCTGATCTTACACAACTCATTAAAATGCTCTCCCACACAGATAAGGGCAAGATTAAACACCAGGTCATATAATCATCCTGCCTCTTCCTTTGCAGCTCCACTAAGTTCCTGGCTCATCTCCTCTTAAGCAGCTGAATCTTTTTTGTTACTCGTTAGAATCCACAGAGACTCTTCTAGCGTAAAATGAAGCTCAATCTATTCTCAGATACTTACAGCTGTAATACCTTTCATATAGGTCTTTCAGCTGCTTGTAATACAAAATGCAAATGTCCTGAAATTGTTCCTAAATAACGATAAATGAATACCTCAATTTTTTTTTTAAACTTCATTGTGTTCCAAAATTTTCTATGGTATGACTTTACTAGTAATGTTTGCAGACACAATTACTTAAGTTTACTATAAAATAATATTCACAGAAATCAAGTTCTGAGGTGGCAAAAGAAAGTATTTGCAGTAGAAATCTGATTCTAGGAGTTATGCATATCCAAGCAAAATTGAGTATCAAAGACCTCAAATACTTATAGTGAATTGTTAGTGGAACAAGAATTGTAGCCATAAACCAATACAGTTTTATAGATCAAGAAATAGTCACAGAAATTATTCTACAAATTCTTTCAGACAAACGCATTTGAGAAAATCATCAGCTGTTCAGGATAAATCTAAATATGCTATTTATTGAATTAATTAGTCTCTCTGCTTTACTATTTACTCAAGTTCTCTCAAACAACTTCAAACATAGGCCTGAAAAGTCATTAATCCAGACTAGTCTGTCTGGTTTTAATTCTAGTTCAAAAGCTTCATGTTGCATGACTGACACATAATTTTACTGTTATCCTTCAGTACTAAACAGATACACCGTAAGGTTTTCTAGGATCACCCTATTTTTTTTCTAATAGAAAAATGCAGTCAGATCTTATTTCCATCACATATTTTGGATGAAAAATGAGACTGGAAAAAACTGAAATGTATCAGGTCCACAATATTGTCTTTGCTGAAACCACGCTTTCTAGGGAATTCAAATATTTTCCACACAGGAAAAGCACATCTTTATTTCTTATATTAATGATGACTTCAAATAAACACCCTTTTAATTATATATAAAATGGCTGCAATGCACTTTAATGCACGAGTTGCAGTTTCCATCTTTAAAGTTGTTCTCTATACATTTTTAATAGGCAAATCTAGTGAAATGTCATTCTTACTACATTGAAGCTGATAGGACTGGCTGGAGACAGACAAATTACTGTGCATCTAAACAACATGTTATTTTCCCCAGATTGTTATTTATATGCACTGCAGAGAACACTGGCATGTGTAGCGGGTGCACATGGGTGCACGTACACCCCCTGAGATTGGCCATGCCCACCCTGAGAGACGCACCGGTGGCACTTCCGGCCGCAGGCTGCTGCAGCAGGGGGGAGGGGCACACAGCTGGCCCAGCGCAGCAGGCAGGTAGGCAAGGTTTCTTTCTTTAGTTTCTGGGCTTGGGGGTGAGGGAGGAAGCAGGGTAGAGACAGGGGCGAATCATTCACCCCTGACCATGTCCCGCTCCCTGCTGCACTGTGGGAATTGTTCCACGACCCAGCCCAGCTGAGGCCCCACTCACAGTGAATGGAGCCCCGGTCGGGCTGGATCATGGGACAAGTTGAGCCCGATGACTCCTGCAGAGTCGTGGTGCCAAGGAGCCAAGGGGGGCACATGCCCCCTCCCCCCCAATCTTTGCACGGGGCAAGGGCGGGCTGCAGATGCAAGGCAAGCTGGGCTCTTCCTGCTCCATGCCCCGCTGTAGCCTTTGAAAGTGGTGTGGCACAGCGCCATGTGCCTCGCTGCCTGGCCTGCCGCTTTCAAAGGCTGCAGCGAGACGCAGAGCAGGCAGAGCCCAGCTCACCTCGCAGCTGCAGCCCACCCTTGCCCTGTGCAAAGATCAGGGGGGCCATGTGCCCCCCTTGGCTCCCTGGCACTGTGACTCCGAGGAGCCACCGGGCTCTTCCTGGGGACAACTTAGATGGGGCAGGGTGGGGCAAGGGGCTCCGTCTCCTCCAGTCCGGTGCCACAACCAAGGCTGGCCCTGCTCCAGGTCCAGGCCCCGCTCCGGACATTGCGGGTCTGGGCCCGGACCAGGGCCAGTGTGGGGAGACAGCCAGAGCCAATGCAGGGCTAAAGGGAGGTGAACGCTGGAACCAGGCAAATGACCCCTGGCATGGGGGAAGGGGCAGCTGCACAGGTGCAGCGGACCCCGTCCCCAAGCCTGATCCCTGCCCGGTGCCAGCCCCAGCCTCACTCCCTCCCCCACCCATGGCCCTTT